GGCGTAGTCGCGGGGCAGCTGCCAGGGCAGCTCCTCACGGGCATGGGTCTCGTCCCACAGGCACTGTGGCTGTCTGGAACCTGCTCACCAAGTCCCTGCTGCAGTGTGTGCGCCAGCCCGATGGCTCCCTCAAGCTCTACCCTTTCCGGTGCTTTCTAGCCCATGACCACGCGGTCCGGAGCATTGAGTGGTGCAAGGCTGACAGGTGAGGGCAGGGGAGGTGGCGTTGGTGCGGGTGCTGCCTGAGAGAGCGGGCTCGCTCCTGCAGATGAGGCTTCTTTGCCAAGGTGGGCTTAAGAGGACTCAGTGCTGATGGCACTTGGACCTCTGAGGCACCAAAGAGGTTGGTTGGGCTTTCCAGGGTGAGGCGGGGTTGAGCCACTGCCTATGGGAGCAGCGCTGTCCTGTGGGACCAGGGCCACCTCGTCCCTGCAGCAGGGTCGGGGCACGGCTCTGCGCTGGGGTCTCAGTGCTGCCTTTCTCCTGGTTCTCAGCAACTTCCTGGTCACGGCAGGGAGCGACCGTAAGATCAAGTTCTGGGACCTGCGGCGGCTCTACGAGCCCATCAACAGCATCAAGCGGTTCCTCAGCACTGAGGTGGCCTGGCTGCTGCCCTACAACGGTGTCACTGTGGCTCAGGACAACTGCTACGCCTCGTGAGTGCCGGGGCCATAGTGGTGCCCGATCTGTGCCCGGGGGCCAGCCCTGCTGCCGCGGTCTGGTCTTAGTCCCCAGGGGCCCCTTCTGGTCTCTCCCTTCCTGGGAGCATCTGGCTGTGCCGTGGTGAGGCCAGGCTCTGCTCGTGCTGGGTCAAGCCACAGCTGCGCCACCCTGGGGCACAAGCAAGGCGGGCAAGGGGAAGGACAAGGCCGCTGAGCTGGGCTGGGCAGCGGGGCTCCTGTGTGGCCCCAGGCTGACACAAGTTGGCAGAAGGGTTCTGGGGCCTCAGTGTGTTCTCAGCCTCCGGGAGCCGCCCTGAGCTGCCTTGTGATGCTGTGACATGCTGCTAGAGTGAGGACAGCCCCGCTCCATCCACCTGGGTCCCTGGGGTCTCTGGGGAGGTGGGCTGCTGCCTGGCTCTTGCAGTCTCAGGGTGGCAGTGCAGAGCTCCATCCTCATCCATTCTCTTTCTGTTGCAGTTACGGTCTCTGCGGGATCCACTATATTGACGCCGGGTACTTGGGCTTCAAGGCTTATTTTGTGGCCCCTCGCAAGGGAACCGTGTGGGTAAGAGGCTGGTGCAGAGCAGTTTTGTCCCGGGGGCCACGTCAGAGGGATGGGCACCTGTCCCAAACCCAACACTAGCTGGGTCCCGCAGCTGGTGGGTGGGGGTGATGCCGCCTGGCCATGTGAGGCCCTGGCTCTTGGGGTCACCCTTTACCCCTCAGATGAGGGACTGTGGCAGCTGCGTGAGGTGGTGTCCCTGCCTGTGTCCAAGCTGGCTGCGCTTCCGAGCCTGTCCCTCCCCAGGGGGCGGAGGGTGGTGCCCGGGGGTTGGTGTTCATGGTGCTGCAGCCAGGCTGGGGGTAGTGGGGAGCCCATTGGGACCCTACGTCCTAGAGTCGTCTGTTCCTGCAGAGCATATCTGGCTCAGACTGGCTGAACACAGTGGCTGCGGGAGACATCACTGGCGAGCTGGTGGCTGCGGTGCTGCCCGACCTGGCCATCAACCCCCTCAACGTCAAGCGGTCCTCGGACCGCAGATTTGTAAGAGGCCATTGTGCTCAGCAGGGCCTGTCTGCGACACGTGTGGGGCTGGGCAGGGTGGGAGATGTGTTCCTGGGTCGCTGGAAGAGCATCCTCGGCCGACCTCAGGGCCTCTGCTGCCCCACACGCGTGTGCGTCTCGCGTGTGTTGTGCCCTTCCCACCTGGGCAGGGGGTGCGTGGTGGGGAAGGGTGGTGGCAGCAGCCTTGGCCCTGGGGATGGGACCTTTGGGGTTAGGCTCATGCGTGGGGCAGGCCTGGCCCTGTTTGTCCCCCACCCTTATGGCAGCACCTCCTTCCTCTCCCCTGCTCCAGACCTGCCGTGCTGCGGGGCAGGGCAGGGCTCCCGGGGCCCCCAGCCCCGCTCGGTCCCTGGTGGTCCCTGTCTGCCTAGGAGCAGATGGAGTCCCCGCCCTGCCCTGAGCCCCATCTCACCCACAGCCGGTCTACAAAGCCGATCTGCTGCCCTGCAGCCCTGCTGGGGCGGAGGGCGGTGAGCAGGCACTACCGAAGACCAGGCTTTACAGCGAGATGGTGACCAAGAGCTACATCCGATTCTGCGACACGGACCTGGTAGGAGAGTGCAGGGGGCAGGCCCAGAGCTGGGTGGTCCTGACCATGAGCAGGACCTGTGGGAGCGGGGCTGGGGCCTGTGGGGTTGTGGCTGGGCAGTGGGAGTGGCAGGGCGAGGAGATGCCACTCGGATGTTGTGGCAGGCCCTCGCCTCTGGCGGAGCCCAGGCTGGCTGCCCCAAGAGCATGGGGATGGGCTGCCCTGCCACCCGCCCTCTGCGAAGCCTGGGCCTGGCTGCCTTGCTGGCCTGGGCTGGGGTGACTGCAGGTTGGTGGGGGGCATGGCTGTGGGCGTCAGCCCTGGGCAGAGCAGCACTCTTGGTATCCTGGCTGTGGCAGCAGTCTGGAATGCCCAGCCCTGGGAAGGAGCCAGGGGGTCACAGCCTGCCTGGGCCCCCACTCCCTGGTATGCCATGGCGGGCCTTGTTTGGAGGCGCTGGCGTGGGGCACCAGGACCAGGCTGTGCCCAAGGACCCCTAGAGAGGGGGAGCGAGTCTGTGGGTCAGAGCTGATGGAGAGGCACCGAGGGGGTGGGGTCTGCCATGTTCCAGCCGCCCTGCCAGGACCCTCCCTGGGGTCTGGCTCCTGCTGCCCTTTGCCGTGGATGTTCAGTGGGTGACCCTGAGCGCGACATGTGTCCCCTGGCCAAGCAGCACCTACCCGTGCTGTGGTCCAGGTACTGCCAGGACCGTCGTGCGTGCAGCGCTCCTGCTCGGGGCACGCTGCCCATCACGGTGCCACCGCTTCACAGCGCAGCTTCAAGAACTTCCCCAGCCGGGAGCCCATGCGCAGGATGCACACGCAGGAGGTGAAGGCAGAGCTGAGCCTCGACCGCCTGCAGCTGGAGTCCCTGCACAAGGTGAGAGGGCTGTGTGTGCCCGCAGCCCCGCACAGCCTGGGAGGCTGCAGGCGGGAGGCTGCCGCTGCTGCAGGGTGCCAGGGTCCCGGCGCTTCGGTCCCCTCCCTCCTGACCCTCTTCTCCCGCAGGTGCGCTTCAGCCCCAACCTCGACTCACACGGCTGGCTGGTGTCGGGTGGGCAGGCGGGCATCGTGCGGGCACACTGCCTGGTGGGGCTGGCCTCTGGCGTGGGCCACCAGCTGCTCCTGGAGCGCCGTGCCCGCTTCAGCTCCCTCTATGGGGACAAGCCTGGCAGCCCCATCTCTGCCGAGCACTCCGCGCTGCCAGCAGAGTAGCGTGGTGGATCCCTCATGCTGCCACCACAAGTGCTTGCCCTGGGCAGGAGCTCAGTCCAGGGGCAGGCTGTGCTGTCCGGGGGGGGCTGTATGCCCCCTCTCGGTGCTTCTTACCCTCTGGGCCCCTGCCTTGGGGGATGGACAGCTGCTCCTGGCCATCACCTGGAACACTCAGGACACTTGTCCTCGTGCTCTGGGCCCAGAAGCATCCTTTTGTGCTGTTTGGTCTGAGCTGGTGCAGGGAGGGCAGTGGGACCGGTGCGTGTCCCTGGGTTGAGCTGTGGGTCTTGGAGCCTGATGCTGGGGAAGCACCTGTAGGCCCCCACCTGTGTGGGGCTGTGCTTGCTCTTGCCTCCCGCCCCCACTCCCTGGCTGAGTCCCCCGTGCAGGTGCAGGCTGGGGTGCCGGGGCCAGCCTTGTCCTGGGCAGGGCGGACGGGGCCAGCAGAGGTGCCAGGAGCTCTGAAGTTGCTCACATTGAGCCTGTGTTCAACTGTGCAGTAAACGTGGTTTGTTTTGTAAAGGCTGGTTGTGGTGCTGGCATGGGGTCCCCGGGGCTGGCACCGGTGCCTGGGGTGGCTGTGTCTGCAGCGCTGCCCTGGGGCCCAGCCCTGGCCGCACTCTGCCCCTCGTGGGGGCCCGGGGCCATCCCCCCTCCCCAGTTCCCTCTTGGCTGCTTGCGCTGCTGCTGCTCTCCAACAAGTTTATTGATGGCTGCGGGCTCTGCCACCACCCGCTGGACTCCTTGCACAAAGAGACGGACAGACAGACACTCCACGGGTGCAACAGACACGGACTTACAACGGTGGGAATGGATCAGGCTGAGGCATGGCAGGATCCGGGCCTGGCCTGGGCCAGGCGGCAGGGAGCAAAGCTAGGGAAGCTGGCGCTCAGGGCTGAGCTCTAGGCTCGCTGCCCTATTTCCCTGCACCCCAGTGGGTGCAACAGCAGCAGCTTCCCCGGCACCCCTTGCAGCCCGGGAGGCCGGGGGGAAGCCAATGGCCATGGGGGGGGGGGTGGGGCAGCCCCTGCAGCTCAGCTGGGGCACAGGAGCGTCTGGGGCCAAGGCCGGGTCTGGACTCCCCCTCGGGGACGTCCACTCCCTTCCCTGGGCCCTTCAGCAGCTGCAGCAGCTCCCTCCTGTCCCCTCTTCTGCAGGGGACAACAGGGCTCCGTGGGGGAACGTGCGGTGGGGCAGGATCCCTCTCCTCCTTTGGGGCTGGTCCCAGCGTGCCTGAGGCTGTGGCAGGCCTGGTCCCCTCCCAGCATGGCTGGGGATGGAGGTTTCTGGGGCAGCTCCTGTGCTGCGGGGGCCAGGCTGCGTGTATCCCCCCCGGGGCCCTGCACGCTCAGGGGCACTGTCCCACCCCAGGGCTCCGCAGCAGCGGGGTGGGTACAGCACAGGGACAGGAGCCCAAGCACTGCCTCAGCTTCTGTGCTGCACTTCCTGCTCCAGGGGTAGCTCCCGCTCGCCCACGGGGTGGGGGGGCTGGGGCCACGCCTGACCCAGCTCTGCAGCGGGCGAGGGTCTCAGGCGCGGGGGTCCTGGCAGTGCTGGCAGGCTGCCGTCTCCTCCCAGTACTGCTCCACCTGCACCGTGCACGAGGCAAAGCCGAACTTGCTCTGCAGCTGGGTGGTGGCTTCCCACAGCACTGTCTGGGGGTCAGCGCTGGCATCTGGGGATTGCAGGGCAGCATGGCTCAGCCCCGGTTCGTGGGCAGCCAGCGGGTCCCCCCCGGCCATGCCCTGGGGGCTGCGTGAGCTGGCTGGGCCGTGCGTGGGGCACTCACCGACAGCCACGTGCACCGACACTGCGTGGTGGCTCAACGTCAGGGCCCAGAGATGGAGGTTGTGGGCGCCCTTCACCCCACTCACCCCCAGCAGCACCTCCTTCACCAAGTCGAACTCAAGACCCCGCGGCGTCCCTGCCAGCAAAGCCTGGTCACAGAGGGGCCAGCCCTGGCCCCCAGCTCTGGCCCTCACCAGGGTCAGGGCTTGGGGTGGGAGCTTCCCCGGGCTGTGACTGGGCTGGGGACAGTGGCTCCAGGGTGAGGCAGCCTCTCACCACGGGGCCATTTGCCTAGAGGGGAGAGGATGGGATTGGAGGGCTCAGGGGGGCAAGGGAAGGACAGAGGGGTGGGCTGGGTTGTGCCTGGGTGGGGAGCAGAGGTTGCAAGGGGGTGAGCTGCCACACGGGGAAGGGGCTGTGGTAGCCACGGCCCTGAGGAGCTCCTGCACCCCACCAGCCCCCTGTGCCTGTAGTCCTGCACCCTCCTTGCTCACCTTCCATGAGGACTCTGAAAACATCCCTGAGGATGGTGAAGGTGGAACCGAGGACGAAGACTGAGAAGAAAAGGGTGCTGATGGGGTCTGCGATCTTGCACTGGGGCTGCAGAGAGCCAGGTCTGTGTAAGGCTGGGGGAGGCAGAGCCGAGCTGGGCACCCAGGTGTGGGGGTGCCAGGGCCTCAGTGCCCCACAGCACCCTGCATGGGGTTGAGGGAGCTGTTCCCGCGGGCAGCGGAGGGGAGTCCAGCCCAGGCACCTTGAAGTAGATGATGGTGGCAGCCACAAGGACACCGACACTCTGCAGCAGGTCACCCACCACGTGGACAAAGGCTGCACGGACACTGGTGCTGCCGGGCAGGGGGACATGGCTGGGCAGGCAGCCCCCGGTGCTCTCCAGCTGCTCGTAGCTCCCTGCACCATGGCCATGGCCGGCGGGGGACTGGTGCAGGATGTAGGCCATGCTGGGGAGAGCAGGACTGGCTCAGCACTGTGCCGGGACGGGTGCAGGGGTCTCACTGGCCCTGCCTGTACCTGCACCTGCACGCAGGCAACGGTGCCCAGGCATCGCAGGCAAAGGGGGCACAGGCAGGCACACCCAGGCCTCGGGAAGGTGAAGAGGTGTGGGGCAGAGTCCTACTGTGGGGCAGGGCTGGAGGCACAGCAGGGATGGGGCAGCAGCACCACTGCAGGGAGGCGTGTGGGGCTAGGGCAGGGATTCAGGCCTGGGGCACGTGCCAGGTCTCAGGCTTGGCAGGGGGGCAGGGCTGAGGGGGGTGCTGCTTGGGGGCGCGAGGGGATGTGGGGCCAGAAGATGTACGTACATGGGCTGGAAGCTGGGAGTGTATGGGGGACAGGGAATAGGGGGAGGCAGCGCTTGGGGACATGAGGCTGGTGCACAGGGACAGAAGGTGACCTGGGGGCCAAGGCTGGGTGTCTTGGGGTACCAGGGGCACACGTGTGGCAGGGGTATGGGAAGGGAGGCCAGGGCTCAGGCTGGGGGTGTGCAGGGGCATGCGGGTGTGCACAGCCCTGTGTGAGACATACACCACGTTGACGCCGACAGCGCTGGCGGATGTAGCCAGCATAGCTTGCGCCTCAATCTCATAGTCATTGCTGACGATGCGGGCGGCTGCCAGGTAGACGAGGGCTCCGGTCACAACCCAGATGGAGAGGACAGAGGCCAGCGCGCCCAGCATCTCTGCAGGACAGGAGCCATCAGCACCCACCCCAGCTGTGGGGCTCCCGTGGACCCGTGCTTCCCCAGCTCACCTGAGCGATGCCAGCCGAAGTTCATGGTCTTAGTGGGTGGGCGGGTGGAGACCCAGAGGGAGAAGAGGCTGACGGACATGCTGCCCACATCTGTCAGCAGGTGGGCTGCATCGGTCATGATGGCCAGGCTGTGTGCCAGGTACCCGCCTGCGGGCGAAGAGCAGCTGGCACCTCGTGCCCCGGCAGCCCCCTGTCCCCATCCCCATCCCTGTCCTGCTGTTACCTATCACCTCCCCGACCATGAAGATGCAGCAGACGGTGCAGGCAATGCTCAGCTGCCGGCGGGCCTGGAGCCTCCCCCGGCCAGGGCTGGGGGCGGGTGTGCTGCAGCAGCAGCAGGGAGCCAGAGCCGGGGGGGCTGGCGGTGCCAGGGGGTCCTGGGAGCCTGCAAACAGACTGGGGGCAGGGGTCACTGCCGGCTGCACCG